GCTGGGTCGGTGGTGGTTTTCCGAGGCCCTCGTGGGTCGTGACTCAGCCGTGTTAATCCAGGATTTCCTTGCGTTGTTTATCGCGTGGGGTGTTCTGCAGGGCACGACGTTAGCTGAGGAGCGCAGTGGTCAGCGGTTCAACCAGTGAAGGAGTTTTGCCTGTTGGAATGTAATAAAAGGGAGATGTGTGCAGAGACTCACATTGAGACTTTGAAAATAATAGGAAAATAAGAACAGTATTACAACATGAACACTGGAGGAGTAGGATTACCAGCAGATGGTCTCAGATGAAGTAGCTAAGACCAAATGCTCATTATCAATCTTTTATTGAGTATTCTTGCCTCTATCTGAGCAGGTACATCACCATCCTCATTTTCCTCAGATGAGTAGAGATACTCAATAAAAAAATGAATGAACAGTAGTGACTAGTATGTCAGGGTATTAAATGAGCAAAACCATAACTCCAGCTGTAGAGGTAACAGATGGCAAGATGTTCCTGTATCTATAGTTTGAGAAATCTCAAGGAGAACAAGTTGTTTCTTTAGTCTTCTGGTCATCAAAAAAGATAAACCTCCCTTCTGCAAAACAAATCGTGAATCTGGAAAGCCGGCAGTAGTGTGCTTACAGCTTTTCAGGACAGAGAGCTGTAGCAGTGGAAGTCAAGAGTTGTAGTTAAGCCTTTTGGGTTAGTGGTATAATGAAAGGAAGTAAGGGCTTTGGGAGATCCCTGTTGAATAACAGGGAAAACTAAAGCAAAAAAACCCCAAAAACCATACCCCAACAACAGCGATATGGCAATCTCAAACTAATGTAATTAATGGCAGACTGTAGAAAAGAGGAGCGAGTGGTCTGGGGAGTTGGGAGTGGATGGACCTGTGGATAAAGGAAGTGTTGATAGTGTTGGTGGATAAGGGATAAAATGGCCAGGATGGCAGTTTGGGCCAAACTGGGGGTAAAGCTTTACTGCTGGCTTAAACTGAGAATGTGCAGCTGCTCAGGGCACTGACTTCTGCTTGGGCTGGGAATTGGCTCTATCAAAACCATTGTATTAGCAAGCGGGACTAGTGCAATTGTGCAACTGTGCAGTTGACATCATTTCCTTCTCACCTCTTGGCCTGCTTTAAGAACTGTGTAGGATTTCCCTTTATTGTGGTTCTGTGATGACCTTAGGTTATTTCTGCACAGTCATGCAGTTGTACTCTGGGAGCGTTACAGAGTTTTAAAGGGTAAGGTGACGGCTCACTGAAAAAAAGGAGAGAGACCAGAAAGAGAAATTTGGGGAGTGGAAACTGGAGCTGGATGAGGAGCAAGAAATAGAAGTTGAAGTCCAGCTCTTGGTGAAAGAAACAACAAGTGCCAGAAGTCTTACAGGCCTTCTCTTTTTAATTCTTTGGGTCCTGGTGTGGTTTTTATCATTTGGGGTTTTTGTCCTCTGGTTTGATGTGATCTTTTTCACTGTGCTACTGAACTGGAGTTTAGAAGTTCTAGTAGAACACAGGGTAATCAAAGATGAACTGTTGCTGTTATCTTGCTAAATACTTTTCCCCTTCCTCTCCTTGCTTCCTCAGACTCGTGTAGTTAGGAAGAGCTGACTGCTAAAGAGAAAATGGCATCTCTAGAAAAAGGTAGGTGGTTCACATGCTATCTAAGCAGACTGGATTAAAAGTACTTTAACTGGAATTCTAAAGACCAGAGTTTACAGTGTATGCCAGACTCCATTCGTGTAAGCTTATTATTAATTAACCTTATCATTATTGCAGTGAAAACCAGAGCTGCCTGGATGGAACAGTTAATTGAATATGGTTTTTTTCTAATCCAGTTTTGTATTAAAAAACAAGTTTGTTGCTGGTACTGTCACCTCTGTGTACATTTGTCTGTCAGTCCTCCTCTGGTATTAAGAACCTATTGGTACTGATTCAGCCAACTTGAAAGTAGGGCAATATAATGATGCTACTACAGCATTTTTAAAATTCATTATTTAGCTAGAGTGTGCAGGCTGACATCACTGCCCACAGTATGAGGAAAAAAGTAGTATGTGTGGCTATGCACTAAGAAGCTTTCCTGCTTTCACCCGTTGTGAGGAAACTACTATGCTAATATTTCATTCAGCTGAAAACTTAGTGAACTTAAAGTGAATTTCAGTAAACGTTATTATGCATATTGGAGAATTCAGAGCAGAAAGCAGCATTACTGGGAATACCGGGGTTTGTTGATTAGAAATGAAGCAGAACTGGCTTGTTGGCTTTTCGTAAACCTTCCCTTGAACAACTAAACCACATGGGAGATAGTACTTAAGTCTGCTAAACTTCTTAAGGTGCTAGTAGCTACGTAGCTACTAGCTGCTTTGTATTTAATTCTTGCTTTTAAAACGAGACTGCTCTGATTCTGTCAGCTCCCGAAACCTGATTTTTGCTTTCAACCTATGAGTAACATTGGCAAGAATTTTCTGCGTACTAGCTCTTTTTTGTGTCTGTGTTTAATCTTGTATGGTGGCAGGAAATTAATATTAATACCATTCAGATCAATGTTTGTGTCTTGTACTATTAGTATTAATGAGCAATATACACTTGAGTAAGGACTTTTCTAACTTGTGCTTGATAATTGCTGCTGCAAAGAACTATTTTACACATGCAGCATGCAATTAAAATCTTTGCAGTACAGCAATTAAGTGAAGAGTTACAATGAGACTGTAACAAAGTGAAATGTGCTAAACTTTTCCTCTACTATTTCTAAATTCTAGTTGATGATGCCTCATCACCCATCCGAGGACCTGGAGATGGAATGGAAACAGAGCAGACAGCCGAATCGGTGGAAGTAATCGCTGGAGCCAACACTACGAGCCATCATATCCACCACAGTCCACATAAGAAGACAGTCTCTTCCCTGAGTCCCGGAGTTCTGCAGCTAGGGAAAGTACATGCTGATAAATCAGTGGAGATTGAAGCTATTCGTATATTAGTCCCCAAAGCAGCTATCACCCATGTTGTTCCAACTAAAAATGCTAAGGTAGCTAAATCAGTGGGACATAAAGGAGACACTTTCCATCAGTCAGACGGAGCCGCGGATCCCAAGAAAGAACAGATAGAGCTGAAAAATGCAATCGAAAAGCTAAAGAATTCGGAAAAGCGGTTGTTACAGGATAAAGAAGGTCTCTCTAACCAGCTGCGTATACAGACAGAGGTAAGAAATGAAAGCTATTTTCTCTCACACAGTTGGTTTATATAAGCAGTTTGTGAATGTGACCAAAGAGAACTGCTATGACACACTAGCCTTCAAAAGGGCTTCAAAAGTTTCCCTTTTGAACTTATCAGTTAAGATACAGAGTAGAAATACATTTAAGTAATTCAGTGCTGCTTCTCTGACAAAAGGTGAAAGTATCAAAGGCTTGAAGCTGGAAGAAAAGTGCTAGAGGGCTGCAGGGAAATGGATCTTTCATGGGGCAAGATTTTGCTCCTCAGCTCAACCACTAAGTGAAAAGTGTTATGCCATAAAGGGGTGACTATTCTTCTGCATAATATAATCTGTGGATGGCTTTTCTAATCCTTTGTTATCTGATTACTTGCATACTACTGAAACTTTGTTTCTTGTAGCAGGCTTTCATTCTTCTTTGGCCTCTGTTAGAATTTAAACAACAATGTGTTGCATGTGCATTAGTCTCGAATGTTTATGCTCACTGGAGTGGATTGTGAGGCTTAATATACTCTGCATTGGATGTGTCCAATCCTGGAAAGAGAGAGGCAAGTTATTAGCAATTTGCAATAACTTGCACTGCATTCTGGAAGTAGGAGGTGTTTCCTTCTATATTGATTATTACAAGACTGTCTGGTCTAATTCTAGGTGAATCGAGAGCTGAAGAAATTACTTGTTGCTTCTGTTGGGGATGATCTGCAGTATCACTTTGAACGGATGGCTCGTGAGAAAAATCAGCTAATCCTAGAAAATGAAGTCCTGGGACGGAATATGTCTCAGTTGTCTGAACAATTAGAGCGCATGTCTATACAGTGTGATGTGTGGCGAAGCAAGTTCCTAGCAAGCAGGTACTCCCTCTTACAGAGCTGATATAACTAACTGGATTTTAATTATGATGCTTAACGCATATTACAAAAAGCCCTTACTGTTTGAAGGAAATGGTAATAGAATACAGTGTCCTCCCTTTGATTTGCTAGTCTTAAGAAGTTTCCACATACTGAGTGAATAAAGTACTTGTGATAGTCCTAGCTAGGCAGGTGTTACTATCCTAATTTAACTTGTTTCTTTACCATTAACAGGAATCTGAGTTCAGGGATGCAAGCCCTTTCTAGGAATGACAGTGTGGCATATGCTTAGAGTAACACCCTTCAATATTGTAACATTCAGGCCCATTGAGATCTCAGACTTCTAACTGGTAGTTATTGAAATGTCATTCTGGGGTTGGGTTTTTTTGCATTTACGCTATCTCAGGTATTTGAAATACCTGCTTGGGAGGTCCGTGCCCACTCTCATGGCAGAACAAAGTATGACAAAGGTTGTCTCACCTGTAGCTCTTAAATGCTTATATCTGGTGCATACAACATCCAGTTATTGCCCCTAAGAAAGGCAAAGAGGTGAATGTAGTCTACAGCCGTAGCTGTCGTCTTTAGAGATGAATATGAAAAGATGTGATTACAGCATACTTGTGAGAACTGTGTTAGTAAAACAAAATGTATTTCGCTTTTTATCTCTCAGCATCCTGGTCCACCATGTTCACTTACCCAAGGCATTTTAAAGTGTCTCTTACTGGAATTGTTTGAACTCAGCAAGTCAAAGCATAATCTTGCACTTGTGTTGACTGTAGTTGAACAGAAATTGCTCTTAATGCATGCCCTTTGTATTACAGTTGATACAGGCCTTGCATAGGGGAGGGGGGCGAGAACAGCAGCTTAATATTTAGTTTGAGCTGACAAATTACAGTCTGTAGTAGAATAAAGGTGGCTTTCAAACTGCTCACACTACTGATTGGAGATTTCTTTTGCAGGGTTATGGCTGATGAGCTAACCAATACCAGAGCCATTCTTCAGCGTCAAACCAGGGATGCGCAAAGTGCAATCCAGGACTTGCTGAATGAACGCGATCAGTTCCGTCAAGAGATGATCAATACACAGAAGTATGATTTTTCTAATCCAGACTACCCCCGCGCAAATTTTTCATTTCTGTCAGTTTATTCTAGGCCAGAGAAGAATCAAATAACTTTCCTCTGTTCCAGTGATATTCAACAAAAATCAGTTATGCTGATGGATGGTACGGTCACTTTTCAGTCTCAGAGCTGAAAGAGCCAAAGTAGCATTAATTCTTTCTTCATTCCCTGGAAGTGTGAGGTCTAAGGGTAATATACTGTAGAACTGACGTGCCTCATATCCCTCAGCCTTTCTCTATTTAATCACTTACTGTCTTGACTTCAAAGTCTCCTCTCCTTCCAAAACATACAGATTCTTCTATCTGCATTGACATTTAGTGCTTATTTTGCCAGATGTCAAATAAGCTTTACAGGTATTAAAATACTGTGGTGGTGAGGCCTTGTCTTGGAGAATAGCCTGTTTGCCTCCTTGTTTCTAAACGGGTTTTTTTTCCATTTTTTGTGGTTAACATTTAGCTTGTGGAGTAAGTCTTGGGAAGGGACAATTCATCTGAAGTGCTGATAGTATAGAGTACAAAAACCACTAATAGTACTTTTTTTCCTTTCTGCACAGGCTGCTGGAGGAGCTGATGGTTTCTCTTCAATGGGGGAGACAACAGACATACTATCCCAGTACCCAACCTTACACTACAACAGAGCTAGCAGCTGTGAATTGTAAGCTAGCCAAAGCTGTAAGCTCGCATCTTCTTGGAAATACTGGCACTAACAGTCCAAAAAAGGCTTCAACAGCTGTGGAGTTTTGCAATACCCCTGCTGAGAAAATGGCTGAAATGGTAAGAACTCTTCATATGTCTCAATCTGTCAGCACAGAGTCTTCTTTCCAGAAAGAACGCCTTGCTTTGTGTTAACTACTTAATATCTTGCCTTTTTTTAAAAACTATATGCAGGGGAAACATGCTGAATAAAGC